CAAGAGTTAATTGGAACTATGACACCATTTCATTAGTGTCATCAAAGTGATTAGCCCAAAAGTTTTCACTTATTTCAGCACAAATTAATTTATGCATCAAGACCAAAAGCATGACAGAAAAATAAAAGTAAAATAAATTGATACTGAATAGTTCTTAGCCTGAATCACTTTTCAAAATAATTTTTATATTTAGTCATTAAAATCATGACAGCAACCCTTTGTACATGCATCATGCAGATGAACTCCTGTGCTGTACAATGAAAGCAAAGATTTGCAAAGGTATACATAACTTTCTGACTTATACACGCTATTGATGTGAAGCAGATAAATGCATCAGCAGTCATTCACAGAAAATAGGCAAACAAATAAACATCAAAGAGTGAGTGCATTAGAAAGAGAAAATGAAAGAGATTGAGAGGAGAATAAAACATAAAAGTGGCCATTACCATTCATCTTACAAACACATCACAAAGCAGCCACACATCGCTTCTCAGGTCAACAACTTCAAGACGACACCATGTGTTTTATGAGGGTACTGTTTGATTTGGGAATTTGGTAACTACAGATACAAACTAGGCTGTGCATAAAAGTTAGTAACATATTTTGAGTGAAAAGATTTTTTGACTGAAAGATTGCATATTTCCAATGATCGACCCGAGAAATCAGTTCAGTAATGGTGAGACGTGTCCAAAATTGTGTGTCTGTGTGTGCGTGCGCGCATAGGCAAACATGCTCCATCCAGTGATGTGGCACTAGTGACATACCAGTCTGTAGCAATGCAAAGTTCTTCTGCATGCCATTCTATTTGTTGTCTTGGCAGAAATTTTTAAGATGTAGCTTGAATTTGTAAGCAATCTAGGATTGCAAAGGAAATGTTTATCACAGATTAATTCCACATCACAGAGAATAAATCACTAAGTTCAGACTAAAACATCAGGGGCCAGAAAGAAATGCCGAAAACTCAATTTGCAGGTACTATCTCACAAATCACAATGCACACAACCAGTCAGAAATATAACTCATTCTCCAACAAACGCGGTAGCCAAAATACCTGAATTTCCCCCTCGATTCGAGAACACCAACTCCTTTTATCAGCTGAGCATTTTTTCCATTTGTCGACAGCAGGGAGAGGATGTTCAGTATTTTGCATATCAAAATACTTTTATAGCGACTCTCGATGGACTTGTTTTTTAATTCAAATATTCCATCTTCAGCATGTCATCTTGGGAATACGTGCCTTTTTTTTGGTAAGTAATTTTCTTTTTTTTTTTTTTTTCCGTCGAGAATACACGCGACTTGCTGTCGCTTGGTTTGACGAGGTAAGTTACCGTTTTCTTCACTATAGAATTACTAGAATTTGATCCAATATTTTTTTTTTTTAAGGAAGAAGAACAGTGTGCCTTAGCTATAGCTATTTCACCTATTCTTCTGATTTGACAGCTCTACTTTAGATTTGATTGCACTACTAATCTATCTCCATTGAGTTGGGGACTATAATCAACAGAAAACAACCCAATTTACTTTTAAATTTGTTTCATCACTTATTCTCAACTACATCCACTGACAATTCCTGCTTTAGGATTAGTGCTCGATGGCTTGGTAAATCCTTCACATCCAATAAGTTGTTGAATTTCCAGTACCCAGACATCTGTTTTTCACAGAGTCCTGTAATCTATTATGGTTGTAAGGGCACCGATGTACTGCAGTCGTAACTACAATGGTGTATCTTGGGCAAGACAGACTGAGCACAATTCACTCCAGACTGGTTTGAATTCTTTTTCCTTCCAGAGTGGTTGCAACCAAGTTTATAGGACCCAGCCTATCATGTTATTTATCCATAACAGAGAGAAGAGATGGGTATTTGCACATAAGTGAATGTAATGAACTTGACTGGAATTTGAACTTGGCTCTGTCAGTTCTCGTTTCAAGTTGCTAACCCTAACCCCATCAGTTTAGTTTATTCTATGTATTCAAACCCAGACTAAAGTGCTATAAAATAGACTCTTTAAATTAAAACACTGTTAATGTAGCTAAAATGACATATCTTACCTGAGCTGTTTCTATCTGCCTAATTCCACCTTCTTTGAATACTCATTTCAAAATTTATCAATGAAGTGTAATGAAAAATGTTTGCATCCAAATGAATACTAGAATTTTCCCAATCACTCCACAGGTGTAAATTGTTCAAAACATTTTCTAAGTTTAAAAGGAATTTAAAAAAAAAATGAAAACTCTTTCTTGAAGTTTTTATTTCAAGCTAATAGATCAAATTTAACATTTTCAATTTTAATTTTCTTCTTATCAGCCTCATGGTATTTGTTGCATGCTGTTCTGACAATGGAAGCACTGCAGAGAAGAGCCTTAGTCATGGGAACATTCCCAGTACATCCAGTCTGTGATAATGCACTGTGCAACTAGAGTCTGCCGTTTCATATTGTCAGTGAAAATTTCCTTATTGACTGAGAAATCTTTCTCCATTGAGTCATGTTCATGAGAGAGTACCAGCAAAATCTGCAAACATCTTTCCACAGTTTTTCATATTCTTTATTGCTAGACAAACAAAAAAAACAAAAAGAGTAGAACAAAGTATCCAGACAGTTTTCATGCTTGATGAAATTGTTGAAAGCAATATTTCCAGCAGCCTCCTCTGCAAACAAATTGTACCAATTGATTATGTCATCACAATCAGACTTGCTGACTTGTTTTCTGTCCATCATGTGGGAAAGAGGGAAAGACATCTTTTTAGACCATCTTCTGTAACAATTTTTTTCACAAATAGATCCAGGGTTCAGCCATGTAAGTGACCTTACAAGAGAAAATCTAAGGGGAGACTTTGCCAGAAGTTTCTCAATAATGGTGATAAATATTCTCTGTTACAATTCTGCAGGCAAACAGATCTTTTCTTGACACATTTCCTTTTTTGGATAAGTTTTATATAGCCCTATCTGCCAGAAATCCATACTTAATCTGTCAGCATCTTTATGTGTGTTTGGGTTTGACAAAATTCTTACAAATTTATTCAGTTTGGAAAATGAAATTTTTTTTGTTTTTGTTTTTAGTGTGTTCTTTACAAATTTAATGGTTTCATGATCATGCTAAAAAGATCATCTGCAAGGAAAGGAAGCAACAATTTATTGCTCTGATATTTTATCAGAAATAGGCAGTTTTTTGAAACAAACACAAAAATCTGTAGTTTCACTGGAAATAAAATGTCATTCATGTTTGACAGCATTGCAGAGGAAGACTTAGTCTGGAGACATTTTTCAATTTTTTTTTTTTTTTTTTTTTTTTTTAATTAAGTTAAAAAATTTGGTAAGATGTCCAGGAGTCATTGACATGTTTGTACATTTTCTAGCCATCTATGGTAGATATACAAAAGTAAAGGGACAGGGTTGCCAGATTGAACTTTAAAAGCCAAGCAATAAAAGCCAAATAAGTTTTAATATTTTTCATCATTTTTTCACACTTACAAAAGCTGGAGATACAGGTCATTATTTGCCTGCAAATTTTAAAAATAACATTTTCTATCCTATACTAAGACACATCAAAGGCACATTTTCTATCATCATTTTCAGTTACATTTTCTGTGTGTCTAACTTGATTCTTGGGCTCGTTACTTTTGGTAACAATTTAGACAAACATAGTTTATACAGATACACATTGGCATGGACACGTCAGGTATCTTGAATGAACTCACCAACTGCTGACTAGAGATCAAAAGGATTTTTTACTTTTGGAATTAATATGTGGATAAAATTTCTTCAATTGTTCAAATTTTAAGAAATACCGATAAATTTTTCAAAATTCTATAATGTATTTTATTACTGTAAGATAATTTATCTTGACAAATTTTTACTTGTATCTGATGCCTTTTATCTTTGCACTTCCTCTTTTCTTGTTGAGAAAGAGAGAGAAGGAGAATATTCTTTCTTGTCACCTAGACAAGAAAATACAGAAGTAACAACAAGGTAATTACCTAATTCTAATCAAGGAAAAAAACCACCACTAGTAATAATTGCCAAATATTACTGACTAAAAAAAAAAAAAAACAAATTACTTAAAGGACATTCTTAACTTGTAAAAAAAGGCAGATTTCTGGGATTTGGTATACCTTTCAAGAAGCTTTTGGGCTATTGCTGTTTTTCCAGAACTTGGGAAAGCCCTGTCAATTTTCCAGGATTTTTCAAGGTTTCCAGAACCTGTACGAACACTAAGTAAAATTTACCAAATAATCACATGAATCGGAACGGCCAGTTCTATAACAACTGAAAAAGTTTTTTTTTTCTATTGTAATGTTAAAAAGTGATTTTCATTTAATCATATCTGAACTATTTAATTATGCACTCAGAATGCAATACATAATTTAGACAAATCACAAAACCAATATTACAAATTTTATCACTTTTTGCAGATTAATTTTTTTTTAACATAGAGAACACATTTTCTTCCTCAAAATATTTATAGTAAAAGATGAGCTGTGATATGGAGTTGCAAATTCATGTGAAATGAATTGAAGTTGTTATTTAGAATCATTCTTCACTAAGATTATGCATGTATTAGGTTTACAAAATCAGCCAAGATAATAGAATTTGTCCTTTGTTCAAGAGATTTATATTTAACACTGAATGAAATTAAAATTTTCTGGAGCATTCATGCCTACAGAAGTCATGTACCTTAAAAAAATCTTTTTACTGATATGAAACATCATCAATTGAATTATGAATAACTCTTCAATGTCCTTATTGTTTGTTTGTTTGTTTTTTTTATTTTGCAATAATCAGCAGAGAAAAGAATTGGTTGATAATCCCCCCACCCTCAATTATCAAAGCCAAGCAGGAATTCCTACAGTAGTAGCTTTAGCAAACAAGCTATTGAAAACAATGAAAAGCAAGTTTTGCGTAAATTCACAGTCATAAAAGGCAAAAAGTTTATTTTAAAAATTATGAATTCTTTAACAAAATGCAAAGTAACCTTAAGAACTTGTGAAATCACAGTCAGGTTCACATTTTCTTCCTGAAAAAAAGAAAGAAATTCTGGATATTTTCCCTAAAAAAACATTGAAAAATTATTATAATTGTTTCATTTTTATGTTCGTATGCATTCAATGCATTCCTAAAAGTTAAAAATATAAAAGCTATTTTAAAACAATTAAGTTCTTTCAATTGTTAGCTGGTTAAAATTATGTCCCAAAGTAGTAATATTTAAAGTAAAATCTAAAAGATAAAATAAAAAATAAGTAAAAATAAAAATGCAATATCTTTCTGGAAAAAAATTAAATGGTTATAAAATAACAGGAATTTTACATAAAAAAAAAAAAAAAAAAAAAAAATAATTCCGAGAGAAAAATTAAAGTGCCTCATTAAAAAAAAAAAAAAAAAACATAATGAAGATTATGGTTTGAACATTGTTAAATCCAGTCTTCATGAAATTTAAGAATTTTGTGTGATACAAATGATATATAGCTAGGTTAAAAATCAATTTCATCAAATGACATCAATATAAGTATAAAATGTAGCTTCATATATAGAATTAAAAACGAGAACTATAGCCAGTAAATAAAAATCCAATACAAGGGAGACCATTCAAGCAGGTTTTTCAAATTTACTTTTTATTTATTATGACTACTATTAGTATATAAACTGAAAAATATGTGACAAAAAATTGATAAAATAGGACAAGAGCTAACAACTTACGTTCTCTTGCTTTTTGAAGGCCTTGATGCTGAAACAAGTGTGGGTAGAGTAGAGTTATCTATCCCATAGTCTTCCTGCCTTAATCTCTTTGCAAGGCTGCTCTCATCATCAGCAACATAATGGAGCCTTTTGAAACAAAGAAAAATACTAAATAAAATAATTAGTTAAAATATATAGAGAAGCATGCACACACACATATTATATATATATATATATATATATATGCGCGCGCACACACACACATTTCTCAAATTTTCAAGGCTGTAGATCTGATTACTGCAAAAAGAACAATAAATTAGAAGTTAAGATGAAAGTGGAGAGAGAGAGAGAGTGATCTTGAAAGAAAAACAAATTAGTACAAAAGGTTTTCAGACATTGTTAGAATCTTTTTTATTGTGTGTCACATCTAAAGTTGATCTTGTTTATCTGCACAACTTATCTTAAAATCAGGTAAAATTCTGATTTGGAGAAACATCAAATTTTCTTATATTAGAATGTGAATTTATAAGTATCAGATAATTGCAAAGGTTTGTGCCCAATTTTCATTGTTAATATAAAATGACTGCAACTTGTCACTGGTGCTAATTTCTTGTATGTTCTAGATTGAAACTTTTCATTGTTCACTTGTTGAATGTTGACATTTTGCCTACAAATGAATGCCTCAAAGATAGAGGATGAAAAATTGCACTTTCACCATATGCTCTATGAATTTTGGAAAGGAGTAAGTGCTGGAACTACAAAAAAAAAAAAAAAAAAACCTAAACAATTAACTATGCTCTGGGCAACCTTCCGATGTCGATGAAGACTGTTTGACATCATAAAGAATAAACTGAAGATTGCTAAGAGTTTGAAAATAAATATCACAAATGCCTTACACCATTTGAAGAGACTTGGGTTCAATAAAAACGTCCAATTTTGGAAAATCAAAAAGCATCATTTTTCCACCACAACAATACAAGACTGTATGTTGCAAAACAGACCTTTTGAAATGAGAAATCCTCCATCACCCACCATATTCTTCTGACTTGGCTCCTTCAGATTTTCATTCGTCCCAGTCTCTGTAGAACAATTTTATTGACTAAAAAAAATTTGGCTGTACAGTCGAAAACTATTTCACAACTTTCTTTCAACAAAAAACACAAGGTTTCTATGAAAATGGCATCAACAAATTTATAGGAAAATGGGAGACAGTTATTAAAAACAATGGAGACTAGAATAATAAAAAAATTTTATGAGCATATAAAATTTTTGTTTTTAATTTTCAAAATCAGACACAAACTTCTGCAATGGTCTAATACCGTGCAATTTTTCATGATCATTTTTACTGTGCATGTCTTTTAATTTGTACTGTACATGTTTAATAAAAAAAATTGCTTAAAAATATAGGTAAGTAGGAGTCATAGAAATATGAGTGTAGTTTTGGACAGTAAAGCATCTGAAAATGTTTATAGAGAAAAGTAATGAGTTTTCTAGAAACTGATTTTACCCTAATATTGTCTAGCAAAATGCCAGAAGGTAAAAATGTTACAAAATTGGAAATGGAGAAATATTCCCATTACTAAATCAATTTATTCGTATTATTGCAAGCATTACAATGGGCATTATTACTGATGTGGTTAAGGCAGGTAATCTCTTTTTGCTTAGCAAATCTCTTTTATAAAGACAAAAACAAGACTAAATTTTGAAGATGGTACATTATTTATGCTTGGAATAGAGATGAAACCAAAATGTACAGATTCTAGACATTACTCAGTTTACAAGTCTGCTGCTTTTACTAAAGCTTTTGTAAGTCTACTTTTTGCAAAAAAAAAAGAAATCGCTAGTAAAAGTACATAAGATAAATATTGTCATTAAATTTCATAGACAATTTAGTCATCCAAATGTAAAATATGTAGCCTAAATAAAGATGCAAGTGTATATTAAAACAAAAAAAAAAAAAAGTGGAAAAATTCATGAAAATATATATAAGTACAGAATATAAAGAGGCTGAATGCACACCTCTTGGTTTTTCTTTAAACTTTAATAAAACTGTGGCTTTGGATATCAAGGAAATCCTTGGTACCAAAGTCATACATCTTGGTGACCATAGTAATAGATACTGTGTGGCTGTGAAGGATTAAACAGTTTTAAAATCACTGCATTCTTAATTGGGTCATATATTTTGGAGCACCTTTATCTATATCTGAATAAACACATGTAGATTCTAGCAACTGAAAGCTCTTGAAGCAATGAGCAGATTGTAAAATGAATTTCATGTGGCCTTTGTGCTAAGAACAGTCTTCACAATGTCAATGACTATAGCCCCAACCAACTGGGTTTTGGAAGAAAACCCTAACCTGCCTGCAATTCTAAATTACTGGAAGGTATTTCTACTGTGAAATAGTGGCCAACTAGAAAACAATTTTTGGAGTGTGAACCATCTGAAAACTTGAGATGTGTGTTTTTGTCACACAAGTGAGACAGAGTCTATCCCAGCCAGACAGGAGACATGATAATGTACAAAAGAAATTAATACAATAGGTAGATGGGTCCAGATAGAATAATTGGTCAAGAACAGAAATACACGTCAAATATGGGGAAACATACATAAGAGTTAATCTTTCCAATCTGCTGATATCTCTTGATAGACATGGGGAATATATTCAGGTTCCACAAGCAAAAGTGCCAAGTGATATGAAAACTCAACACAAATATGAGGGGGTGGGTGAACAGTGAGCTGTGAGTTACAAAATAATGCTAAAGCATTTAATCAAATGGAAGAAAGTGAAACAGTTGAAGAAGTGCAAGCAGATTTAAACGCAGCAAAGGAAGGGGGGAGACCTTGTAGAGGTTTAGTTTCTACAAAAAAGCAGTTGAGACAAGTAACAAGTTGTAATGATAATGAAGGTGAGTGGAGAAAACTGAAGATAAACAGGACAGACAAAGCAAAAAGAAAAAAACATTTATGATGAAGCTCATCATGGATGAGCTTTAATAGTTTCAAAAAGGAAGAGAAATAATACAGAACAAACATCTGACAGTGAATATTGGATGTTAGTATATAGAGATCACAAATCAGGGGGAAGTTTTCAAGATATTGAAGTAGACAATATAAAACGGTTCCCAAATTTAATGAAATACAAAACATACTAAGTATAACTGGTTTTAAGATTTTAAAAAATTCACAAACAATTTTGTTCAGTGTCTCACTGAAAAATACATAAATCTTTTGAGAACCATTAAAAGAATTGTCATTTTTGTAGACAAAACTGATTCTAAAAGCAATTTTAATACTAAAAGTGAAATAGGTTTGGTTTTACGGCATATCAACCTCAATGGGTTTAATGCCAATAAAATTTTTATTGTTGGTAATATTTTTTTTTTAAATCTATTTCTGATAATATTTTTCCTTCAAAAAATTTATTTCTGGTAATAATTTTCTTTCAAATATGTATCACTGGTAATATATATATATATTTTTTTCTTCCCCCCACCCCCCCAAAATATATTGCTGGTAATATTTGTTTTTCAAAAATGCATTGCTGGCAACATTTGGTTTTCAAAAATGTATTGCTGGTAATAATTTTTTAAAGTATTTCTGGTATTAAAACCTATTTTTTTTTTGTGTTTTGACCCCAGCTACAATTCCATTGAATAAGGTTTTGCATCTTGATTATGTACTACGAATTATGAATTTTTATATGTCCAAGTTTTTTTTTTTTATATGAGTGAAGTGTCCATCATTTCTATATACTTCAAACTATTAGCATTTTGTTTCTTATGTTTTGTTCTTTGAACTTCTTTTGTTTCTACTGTCTTGTTTGATTTTGCTCCCTTAGATTTACCATTCGGTTTTTTTTAATGAAGTTTGTCCTGATGATGATCTTTCCCTTGTTTGTGATGGGTTAGAATTTTGTTCCTCTATGTCCATTTTCCTTGGTTCTTCAATATCCATTTCGTTATTTTTTTTTTTTTTGTATCTTTTCATTCTCTTGAGAATGTTTCGATGTTTCTATTTCTTGAATTTTTTTTTTCCATTTGGATTTTTCAGGTTTAATAGTTTTGTAGATGTAGAGTCATTTTTGTTTCCAATTGACAATACAGGGTTTGTTTTTCCATTAGGTTCTTTTAATGATCTTTGTATAGATGATGACTGTTCCCTTGTTTATGATGGGCTAAAGTTTTATTCCTCTATGTCCATTTCTCTTGATTCTTCACTAAAAGTTTGTGTTATTTCTCTTGAGAAAGTTTAGAGGTTTCTATTTCTTGGATTTTTGTACTTTGGTTTGGAATTTTCAGATTTAATTGTTTTGTACATGTAGAGACTTTTTTGTTTGTGGTTGATAGGACAGGATTTTTTTTGTCTATGGGCATTTGATTTATGAGTGATATACTACATTTTAGTAGTTCTATTAAACTTTTTAATTTTTAATTTGTTAATAAGAGTTATAAGATCTTGGCTTCTTGGAATGAGATATTTTGCGTGTATTTTCTTCTAATTATTTCCTTTTCCTAAATGTTACATTCTTTGAAGTCTGCTGAATGTTTTTCTTTACAGTTTGAATATAAAGGAGGCCTTTCACAAGGTGATTCATCATGCTCAGCTTTCAGTTCCCCACATCTTCGACAGACTGATGTTCTCGTACAAACATTTTGAAGATGACCAAATTTTTGACATTTATGACATCTACGGGGATTAGGAAGGTATGGCTCTACCTTAGCTACTGTGTAACCTATCTTTATTTTTTTTGGTAGAGTTGGTTTGTCGAATGTCAAAATGTATGTGTTGGTGTTTATTATTGTGTCATTTCTTTTTACTTACATTCTTTTAACATCTGTTACTCCTTGCTTTTTTAGGGTGTTGTCATTTTCAATTTCTTCTGATGAACAAAGTGACAGTTCTGGGCATTTTATTACTCCTTTTGATGAATTAAGAAATTGATGGGGGTAGGCCTTGACTTTATTGTTGTCAATTTGCTTGATTTTTAGCAATTTCTCTGTGTCTTTTTTGGATATCACTTGAATAGAGTATTATTTTTCTTTATTTTTTTAACAGATTGTCTGAAAAAACCCTTTGCAACACGAAAGAAGACACTTGATATATCACCCTCTACTGATTCTACAACAATGAAAGTTGGAGATTGATTTTTTTTTTCTATTTCATTTTCGCTTTCAGAAGTCTCATATTGTCTCTTGGCTCGCTTATAGCCATATAATTTTAATTTTTCTATTTGCTGTCTGTGCTCCCCACCCACCTTGGAGTTCCTTCTTAAGAGATGCTATCAGGGAGGACTAATCCCATTCGCCCTAATCCGCCAAGGCTACACAGACAGTATAGTTGTGATGAGAGTGGATACGAGCACTTGCACTCCCCTACCATATCTACCAAAGTATAGTATGATGTAAGGCTTCGTGGCCCTGTCAGACCCATTATCTGTCATCCCAACTGGCCCTTGCCACTATGGGACTAGCCGATTGGAATGGATTGGGCTAGTCCATTCACCCGTCTATCCCAGGTAGGGACCAAAGTGACATGTTGTGGAAACTCCTGTTCATTTTATAGTAGATCAGGAGTCACTCAGTCACCAGGACTGTCCCCAGGCATCATGGGTTGCCACCCACGGCAAACGGGTGGCACCATTTAGGGGAAACTTTAGTTTTTTGAAATTGGGTTTTGTGAATGTGCATTTTATATACTGCAATTTGTGTTGATGGTATTATTATTACATATAACCCATTCTTACACTTTCCTAGTATTCTGACTTCAGAACAAAGGAGGGGGAAACTATTTACCCATAGCTGGGACCCTAATGGGTGCTACCACCCCGGGTCAGGGTGGACCCAGGAACAACAGCAAACAGTGAAATAGGTAAACTGCAGTTCATCTGTACATATAAAAAGGGCAGATGCCAGTGTGTGTGCCTGTCCAGCTAAAACTAAAAAAATTACAATAATTAATGACAAAATAAATATATATATATATATATACACACACGACTCTGTATCACCCAAACCACCTTTTTTCAAAAAACATTATCATGATTTGTATTTGCAGAGATATTTTAAAATTAAAAAATATAATGCATTTTTAGCCAAGTAAGAACTAACAAGTAAAAACAAACAAGAATTATTATTCACGTTCACTTTTACTTTTTAATTCTGCTGATAATTTCAAAACAGTACATGTGTTTTTAAAATTTTTATTCTCTTGAATTTATTTCCATATCTATAGTAAATAAAAGCATAACTTAAAAAAAATGAATATTAAATATAATTATTTGAAAAAAGAGTTTAATATTTATTTATTCAAATATTCAAAACAAAAATCATAAAAACCCAAAAGAATAAATTCCTATGGATATTGGGGGTGGGAGTGTTATTTTTCATAGCTTTAACAACCAGGTATTCCATAAACATAAGTCATCTTTTTCAATATTTGAGAGAGAGAGAGAGAGAGAGAGAGAGAGAGAGAGAAAAAAAAAGAAAATTTTTAACTCTTACCATTTTATTGAAATTAATATTTTTTAGAAGTTTAGATATTAAATCTTAAAAATTTTAATTCATTTGTGAATAATAAGTGTTTCATTAAAATCTGACAATTATTTGTTTTTTGCAAGAATTTCCAAATCAACATGTTTTTTACCAGAAAAAAAATAAATAAATAAAAAAAAAAAATAAAATAAAATAAAATAAAATAAAAAATAAAAATTTAACCAAAATTTTGAACATGCTAGAAGGGATTAAAAAAATTTAATAGTCAAAAGTATTTTGGTCATTCCTCTTAACATTTTGACAATAAAGCTTTGTTTTCATCAATTTGGGGGCCTTTTTTCATCATGGTATGCTCTTTTTTAGTGAAAAAGTGAAGCACATTAAACTTTCAAACCCTTCAACATCACCGAAAACAAATACCAAATTTTTATAAAAAATTTAAAGAAAAAAAAATGAAAAAAAAAAAATCAGATGCACAAGGAATATTGACATCAAAATACCAACATAGAAATTACCTCAACTGTCCTGAAGACTGGACTTCTATAAAAAATAAAACTGTCAGTATAGCATATGACAGCAATGTTGAGAGGAAAAAAAAAAAGTGTGAATATTGGTATGTATTGTTTGTATTTATTTCCATGGCAAGAATCAAGAACTTTTTACAATTTTGAAGTCCCTGCAAACAATGACTGAGGGATGGTCAGAAAAAGAAATAAAAATTTTTCTGAAAAGGTGTTTCTTTTGTTGATTCACACCAATTTAAAATTTTGATTGCTTTTTCACTTATTAAATAAATTCCGTGTGGGACTTACATTTTGTTTTTCTTTGAAGAACGTGCAGGGATATTGGAAGGGGTCATGTGATTAGCAACTGCACTGTTGTTAATGGAGCTGCGGCTGTCATCATGTTGGTCAGAGTGTGGTCTCCGGTGGAGACGTGCAATATTTGGTGTCTTCAGGTCAACTGATTCTTCACTTGAAAAAAGTAAGTAAATAATAATAATAATTGTTTTTTTTTTCTAGTTAACAGAAAATTTAAGTAAATTATTTTTGTTTTTCCTTTTATATTGCTGTCAAAAGAAAAAAATTTCTGAAAGTTAAGTACAAAATAAATGACATTTTCTTATTTAAATAAGAAATAAAACCAAGTTTGTACAAACTGAAGTGTTTTTCATGGTTAGAAAGTTCAGTTCATGGAATTTGTTATAATTAATACAAAGTGATTGCATAAATATTAATGAATGCATATTTAATGATTCAATTTAATTTCATCTTCAATCTGCATATTTGAAAAAATTTCCTATTCTCAAATTTTTACATAAAATTTTTTTAAGTTATAATTTTAAACTCATAATTACAGTGTGATATGTTTACATATACAAAATTAGCCTAATAATATAAAGCAAATAAATATAATAAAAAGCAAATTATTTTTGTGAATATTTATAGTGTCATTATTCAACTGTTTTATAATTGAAAAACATGAAGAGTAAAGATGTAAGAACTTTAGATCAAATAAGCTAAATGTTTGGTGTCTGTGTGGATACAGGAATTAGCACTGCATGGTAATTCATTTTCACATAAAATTTTTTTAAGTTATAATTTTAAACTCATAATTACAGTGTGATATGTTTACATATACAAAATTAGCCTAATAATATAAAAAGCAAATAAATATAATAAAAAGCAAATTATTTTTGTGAATATTTATAGTGTCATTATTCAACTGTTTTATAATTGAAAAACATGAAGAGTAAAGATGTAAGAACTTTAGATCAAATAAGCTAAATGTTTGGTGTCTGTGTGGATACAGGAATTAGCACTGCATGGTAATTCATTTTCACTATTCAAACAATCTTCAGACTATATACATCTTACCATTTCACTTTGTATGGCTTTATATACATGTAAGTAAAATGTCAATGAATTTAGATTTCACAAATAGATCAGCATGAAGTGATAAGTCAGAAGCTCATAATATTGAACATACATTCTTATATAATAAAAACTTTTCACTATTCCTTAAAATTTCTGAAAAGAATCTACATTGAAGAATATTCATTTATTTTACCTCATCTTCTAACAACATATCAGATTTCATTATGCAAGATTATATTACTAGGTGAATTTCAGCTTGTAACAGGTTTTTATTTTTAAAAATATTTATAACTTGGCATGAAATTTTATTATGCAACTAAAGATTTGTTCATCATATTGTAAAATATATAATAGCAATTTTTATATCTTAATTTTCAAAATATATATTTCCCACAACAATTTTTATAACTTCAAATGATATTGCAAAGTTATTAAGTGATGAGAAAACAACATTTCACAATTTCTAGAGATCAAAGAAAAAAGAAAAAAATTGAAAACATTAGCAGGAAAGAATTTTCCTATAAGTTTTTCTTAAATCTATTTTGTAGCATTCTTAAAACCAGATTTTATTTCTTGTTCTTTCTTGCTAATGTTTTCAACCAACAAAAAATAAGAAAATGTTTGAAGTTGTTGATATGAATATAGACAGAAAAGATGTAGAATATTAAGAACATTGACTAAAGACATGAAATCAACCAAGCTATTATCTTTAAGTAAACATCACAAATAGAAATTGATTGAAGTAGTACATGAAAAAATGATTGTTCAGAAATCAAGTTTAGTGAAGAATTTAGAGCTACATTGGATGGATCTGATGACTGGTGTAGAGACCAGACCCTTCCTAAAAACACAACTGAGAAGAATGGCAGTGGAATGTTTTGGAATAGTAGTCAGTAGTAAAATCATAGTTCTCTTTAAAGTTGATAGTATCAAGATAAATGCAGATAATTTCTGAACAAGATGTTTCTTAAGTGGTACAGATCACAGCCAAGAAGCTTTAAGCTGAAGTGTATATGTGCCTACAAGATAATACTTTTTTATATTCTACAAATCTGACTTTTGCCTGCCTTACCAAAAAGGTTTTAAAGACAACATTTATGCTTCCCAAATAGAAAACTTGTGGCCCATCATTAAAAGAGATGTATATGACAATAGAAAACAATATTCAAGTAAAGAAAATCTTAAAAATAAAGTAATAAAAACTGCTGCAAGTAATGTTAAAGTTGAAACAATAGGAAAGTATCAAAATCCATGAGTGAAAAGACTGTTGTAGGTTATAGAATATTAAGGAGCCCATATTAATATGTAAAATAATTTATTCACGTATATTGCATTAATTGAAGTTATTTCTGTAATGTGTAATTTGTTTGAATTCCATTATAAGTAAATAAATTTTTGTTGTACATTGTATAAAACCTGACACTGCCCAAAACAAATTGTTATCAATATTTTTAATAAGGAAAGATATGTGGAAACTGAAATGATATATTGCTCATATGAATATATTCTGAAAATTTTACCAACATAAAACCTGACAGTGTATAAGGTAATACAGTAATCGTTTACATCTTTAATAGTAATTTGTTACTACCACAACAAATACATTAGTTCAATTTTCACAAGACAATGTTGAAAGTGAGCTAAGCTGGATTAAGCAATGTATTCAGAAGTTAAATTCACACAAGATGATTATATAATGTGCTACATTTATTAGACTGTGGGAATTTGGAGAAAAACAGCACTCTGGGATATGAACTGCTGAATTTGTTTCCTTTATATTAGGAGCATAGTAAAACATTCTACCATTTTTCAAAAAGTGATCATCATTTACGAGAAATATTTGTTAAAACCCACCATCTTAGAATGTACTAACTTATGTTAGCAAATAGGTAACTTATTCTATAAACTATACACAAAGAGAATGATATTTTATTCTTTTACTACATAAAACAAACTAAATACTGAAGTAAAAAAGAAAAAATATTCATGAGAACAGATTTCGCTTCATTTGCCCAAATAATACATTACATTTATATGTAATCTTGAATAATAATTCTCTCTGCACAAGTTTTCAAATTGAGGAAAAAATACTGAATTGGATAGTGGACATTTACAATATCATTATCATTTTAACATGTAACAATATAAACTTATTTGTATGTGATTTTATTATGTGTAAAATTAGAAAGTTTAATAAAACTGAGAATACTTTTATTGTAAGCAAACATCCATTTCTTCCTTTGTTTTTTTCTCTCACACTCATTAAAGAGTTTTGTAGCATTTGCTTTAAACTATTATAAAAATCATTATTGTTCAACCAGCACAAACAAGAAATATTATTTTAAGTTTTACATATATGACCAATTTTTCTCTAGCATCTACATTTTAAATTTTTTCATTTCTCTTCAAGACAGGTTTATCATTAAAAAATAAACCTAAAAAAATTAATAAGAGTCAGGAAATAAAAATACACTCAAATGTATATTGAACATTACTCTTAGAATACAATTCCTTTAAAGAAAAATGTCAGATGTAAACAAAATTAAAATTATATTGGTAAACTTAAATCTCATTTGTGTTTCAGTTTGAGAGTTAAATATGAGGTTAAATTAAAAATTATATAGGTTGTTTTTTTTTTTGTCCAAAGAAATTTAAACAAAATTATACTGTTAAGAAAATGAAATATGATTGGTGCATGATGAAAATAAAAAGTGAAGCAGACAGAAGCAGCCATAATAATAATAATGAACTATTTAGGCAAATATCACAGGTTGAATTGTGTTTTAGCCTTGAGAGAGAAAAAGAAAATAGTGAACTTACCAGATTTCTATGACACAAAAAACATTTGTGACTAACATGAAATAATGATAAAAATAAAAGGAACAAATAAGATGATGAAAATCAAATAAATAAAAAGAAAAATAGAATTTCCAAGCATCATGCTGATCAGATTCACTAAAAAGAAAGGAATCTTGGGATAGATGGACATGCTGACACATTTCTAAACAATCTATATTTTAATTTTTTATTTTTGTTTCTTTATATAAATGAGGAAAAAACTGAATACAAAACAAAGAAATCTAAGTGTGAGAATATTATTTACTTACATTCTAGAAAAGTTGACCAAAGAAGCAATGATGACCCAAATAGCAGCAAGCGCACAATGCATTATGGGTAAAATAATTTTAAAGGATTATAACAGATTACAAAGCAAATGGAAAGATAGTAATCAAACATGGGAATGAAATAAAAATATTAAATAGAGTGATAGAGAGAGAAAAGGCACAAATTTCTCACAAGCTAGAGACTTGAGAGTTACATGAGCAAACACTCAAGGGTGGTCCAAAAATGGCCATTGGACTGGAGAATTTGCAGCAGCATCGACACAGAAACAGTTGGCATGGCACCAAATGATTAACTTACAGTTTGATTTTCTTTGATGGCGGCGCAGAAAAAATAGGAGGGGGCAGGAGGGCAGAAACATTACTGCTGGGAGCAACGTGGTTGTCATGAGCATGTTTAGAGGGTTGCCTCGACCAAGGATGATCCTGTATCTTCAAGTTGCCTGCTTCTTCATCATCAAGGAAATGCAACCTTTCAAGAAAAAGAAATCTAACATTTATAGGCAAGGGTTCATTGCCTTGCAGATGCAAAGGGGGACATTACTTCGCAGGAAGTAGTGCACAGATTGATGCAGCAGTAGCATCGGAAATGGGAAAAGAGATTTTACACAAATCAAAGAATATCGCTTTTTCTTTGTATTTTTTCTTAATAAGTTTCTGTAATGGTGCTATGATAGGAATCAAAAGTTATAGTAACAATCACCTCCCTCCAATCAATCTTTTTTTACACCAATGTAACTGAAATATAAACCATTTCTGTTTGGAGAAATTTAGTCAATAAAAGAAAAACTATTAAATATTAAATTTATGAAGATTTCAAGGAATATTTTTAATTTTTAAGATAACTGAAGAACAGAAATTCAATCAATTTCAATAAAAACATTTACTTTTTTAATTTAAGAAATAAAATTATTAAAAATGCTATAATCCTTTAAAAATTATAAGGAAAACATTTATCATATAGTTTATAAACAATGTATATTTTCCCTTATTTATTATTAATTTTTTCAAATGTTATAAAAATAGAAGTATTATATATATATATATATATAAAATGCATACATAAAAGAAGCAAAGACTGGAAATTAAAATATAAATACATTGAATATGAACGTTTTTGAAAGTGCATTACTTAAGCAGGTAAAGTTAGAATATCTATGAATGATAAAGTGTGCATGTGTGCCAGTGGATCTTACTGAAAAGACTTCATTTTTATAAAATAAAAAGTGAGAATAAAAGATTGGCTAAAACAACTTGTTCACATTAAAAACATAAAACTTTTTTTTAAATTGCTCTACTTTAAGTGAAGTAAAAAGTTAGGGTAAAGGGCAGCTTTACAAGAAACTTGTAAGCCTAATATTTTAATCAGGAAACAAACATTTATAAAGTGACTATTATATGAAGTTAACTGTCAGCATGGCATTATCAAGTTATTCCTGATATATGGTATCATTCAAATGATTTGACTTCACTTTTTATCAGCACAAGCTAGTGTTGATAAAAAGTGAAGATGGTTTTATAAATGAAGAAGTTAAAAAGGATAAACCAGATATAGATGAAGATGCTGAATGCAATTCAATATGGTTGATAAAGTTGGATAATGAAATGAATTATATGAAAAGCGAGAGTTTTTTTTTTTAGGGTAACTAAAAGGTGAATGACAAAAAAAATTATATTAAAAAAAAAAAAAAAATTCAAAGTCAACATAGCTTATGAATTCTTAAGTCAGGAACAGAAAAGGAGCTTGGAATAAAAGGAGGAAACAAAGAGTCTGGAATAACAGTGAGTTGGGAAAATAAAACAATTTAAATAGTTGGATAAGCCCATCTATTCTGGATGCAAGAATTGGCTTCAAATGACATAAGCAGTTTAAGTAGCTGTACTGAGGAAGAAACTGAAGATTATTCCATTAAGTTTGAATATAGATACTAAATGGTAATTCAGTGCATAACAAAGCACATTATATGCAAATATTAATGTAATGGCTAGCAACCATGCTATAAAATGGCATGGTTATAAGAAAGAGCTTATGGACAAGACCACAAAATTATATCTCTATAACACTAGAGTACAATGAATAAAAAATATCTGACAAGGAATAGATACATCTTTCAAAGATAGAGATGTATCATTTATAAATACACTATAAATAATGAAAAACAATTAGGTGGGATTGATATTTAGATTAACATGTATACCCAATGAAAATTAAAGATAAGATTACAAGAAGTTGTAGACAGAAATAGATTTACAGCACTTACAGTTTTTTTGTTTTATTTGTTCGAGCATTGACTAAAGGTGGCAGGATCTCAAAGACAGAAAGCAGATTGTTGTTGGTTTCAGTAAGACTTTCCATACACTGCTGGGATGCTTCTCTAATCATGCTGCTTCCATCATCATCCAAATAAAGTCTTTAAAAATAATATCAGTGAACATTTAGTTTTCTCTTTTTTATTTATTTACATTTCTTAGTAACAGTTATGTTTTTGTAATTAGACTAAAATATAATTTTAATCATTTACATAATTGAAAGAAAATCCTGACAAAAGAATACATTTATAATTTTTATTTTATTCTGATATAATTTTGGTTATATTAAAGATGGCAACAAACACCATTCCTATTAAGCTCACAATTTATTAATGTATAAACAGTTTAAACAAATGTTTTATCAAATAAAGAGATTACCTGTTATCATTTTCTGTTTTACTGTTTGTTGAAATTTTAGAATCAATATCAGTTGTGAGCCCAGTAACTGATTCTTGTTCTACAGTAATCTCATAAGCACCAATACCTATAGAGTCAGAGAGAAAAAGAAATTAAGTGATTAAATAACTTCAAAGCAACCAAAATATAGAACAAATTTCATTCTCTTTGTATAGTGCTTACCTTTCAAATGCAGCAACTGTCCTGCCTCAGCAACATCATCTTTTTCATCAAGTTCCGGAAACTGGATGTCTGTGCTGGGACCCTCTTTGATTCTGAAACACAAACGTTCAGAATGTGTGTGTATATAGTCATCCACAGACAGATTGTTTCACTGTATCACGGCTCATCAGTGTGGCTAGACATCTGGTTGCCTCTAGCTAGGATTGAAACCCAGCTGAATTGGCATCAGTCAGAGAATCTACACCTAAGCCGTTGGCACATTTATTTTTAGATAAACACGCTAATGACTGAGAGTGAAGGTGAATTTAAGCATATATATATATATATATATATATATATATATATACACACACACACACACACACTAGTTCTTTATCATACAGCAAACACACTACCTCATTTAAAAGATGAAAGTATCTTTTTAATAAAAACATTTAAAACATCTAAGTTTATAAATATTTTCAATATTACATAATTTTTTTTTTTTGCAATCTTAAAAAATTCAAGGGCATGCTATCAAAGAAAAAGAATACATATTTTAAAATAAGATTAGAAAATAACATTGAATCTGATCTGAGATTTTTTTTTATACATTTGTCATCAAGAGAATTTCTAACAAAGTAATTCTTTTACTATTGTCTAGAATTACTATTTCTTGTTTATTATTCATTATTTTCTATTAAAAATAATTTTCAATTCACACACACACACACACACACACACACACATATATAAATGACTTTTCAATATCTTTCAATGAACTAAAAAGGAAAAAATAATTAGATATCCTTTTGAACAAGGCATATTCACAAAGTAATTGACATAAAAGTTACTATTACTATCTTTCTTAAAAAGTAATCAGCCTGACCCACTTTTGGTAGTGGGTCAGGCTGATTATGTTTTTTAAGAAAGATAGTAATACTATAGTAATACTGACTAAATATCAAAATTTTGCAAGACAGGAATTCCATTCTTGTTGTGGCCCAAAGCGTTTTAGCACCCCATTTGTATAAGTGTAAATAAGGCATTTCAAACTTGACTTCAATGCAAATTCAATGGAAAAGATTTCTAATCAAATATTTAAATAAATTTAAATATTTACAATCACATGGTTTTGATAAGCTTCTAATGTTACAAAAAGATAAACAGGATATTCTTTGTTGCCACTAAATCTTAGTAAAGTATATATTTCTGTAAGCATAAAAGCCTAAAATTGTATTTTTTTTAAAATTACCTGTAAAATTTGAAAAATTTTTGACTACTGCAAGTAATGAAGGAGAGACAGATAATTACCTTATTAATGTGAAAGTTTCAGTTGGTTTCTGTCCTCCTGCTTGTTTCAACTTTTCATATTCAGCTATCAGCTGTTGTGACTGCTGCAACATGTTTTCATGGTAACGTATCACTCGGTTCTGATAGAAATCATGCAGATCAGAGACACTGCCAATACCACATTCAGCAAACACCTGTTCAATGACATCCTGAAAATAATAAATGATGAAATATACAATTTAATTTAGAAAACGTCATATCAAAACACCATGTAAACAGAAAATGACAAAACAAGATGGGACAAATAGGCTTTTTAATCTATTATGGAATGTTTGCTTCATAGATTCAGCATATCAGAAAAACCACTAACTAAAAGTAAAATTCCATCAGCTTAAGTAATAAATCACTAGATCAAAATGGTCAAATTTCAAATCTAAATTATTTGTCCATTTAAAATACATTTATTAGAAAATATATTCAGTTTAAATACAGGGGTCATAAAAGTGATTTTAAAGGGACTCACATTTCAGTTTATACTCTTTTCCTGTTACTCAGGGGTTGTTGCTATATATAAGGGGAAATTAACCCTCAAATTGAGCAAAATACCAAATATATATATCAAAAAATCCTCTGATTTTTAGGGTTAAAATTTAAATGGATGAAACTGGATTTTTTTTCAGGAATATTTCAGAACATTTCAAGTGGTTGTGAAACTGGTTTTTTAAAAATGTTTTCAAAATATCACAAGTTATATAATGCAGGAGTATTTTAAAACATAATTTGTATGGTTCATCATGCTTGCTCTATTTTCTATAGAAGTTGGAAGTATTTTATTTTCTTCAGATATCCTATTATTTTGGGCAGTAGGGACATTTTTGAAGAGTATGTTAAGATTTTGAGCTTGGTAATAGTTGCTACATTTTTTTTTTGTACTTCTTATATTCTATCAAGATATGTTTGACTGTGAGAAATTGGTTGCAGTGAGTACACTAAGGTGTAGTTTCTGCCTTGAGAATGTATATATAATCAGTGTGTGTGTCTATATTCTTCTTGTGTGTTTGTGTGTGTGTGTTCTGTTTGTTTGTGTGTCCAATTCTTATTTTCTTGATGTGTATGTCTTATCTTGTTTTTCAGGCTATATGGGAGTTTATAATTTTTCATTTTTATGTTGATTGGTTCATATAGTTTATTGTTTTGGAAATTCCTAAATTTCTTGCCATTTTCTCTTTAATGTTTTGTTTTTTGTTTTCCAATCTTATTTTTATGGTTTGATTCATTGGTTAAATTTGCATTTTTAGTTGTGGTTTTTTTGTGAATTTGTCTGTTTTGATTTGCTTTTTTTTTTGTCCCCATTCTGTCTAGGAATTTTGATCCATTATTGTTTTGAATGGTTTTAAATGATGATTATTTGTTCCCAATTCTCTGAATATAGGGATGATTTGTGTTTTTTTTTTTTTTATTGTCTGTTAAACTAGATAGGAGGTTTGAGAAGATTCCATAAATTTCCTTTTTTATTGATTTTGTATCATTTTAAGTGTTTTTATTTGTTGTAGTTCCACTTTATAAATGGATGCATTATTTGGTAGCCTGGTTTGTTTGTGAATTTGAACTGTTTGTGGCTTCATACACCTTTTTTTTATTATTTTGATCCATCTGTGTAGAATGGTTTATAGTCACAATATTTGTCTCTTAATTTTCCCATATGCTTTTGTTGATTTTTTTTTTTTATAGTGTCAATATAAGGTCTATATGAGGTTTGGAGATTGTCCATAGCCTTGACCTTCATTATTTTTGATTGAGATAACATTATCAAGATCTTTGTTTATTTGTTCTACTTGGTTTTTGATTCAAAACCAAATGAAGAGATGACTGTTGGTTTAGTTCTATAGAACTTTGTATATTGAGGTTCATATTCTGATTTTTTGGTATGCTGGGTTATTTTAATTTTGATTGCAGTTTTAGTGCATATTGGAGGATAATTTTTTTCCATCTCAGAGATAACAGTGGTTCATTGGACCTCTATATAGAGACTTTGTATAGGTGAAGTCCAGAAGGCTCTGAGACTTAATCTCAGGCCTTGATTTTGTATAGTTTGTAGCTTTTCAAGATAGGACTTATATATTCTTGCAGCACTGTTTAATGCATCCATAGTCTAGTTTTGATCTGATATGTGACCTATATATTCTGAGCATTACTTTTTGGTCAGCACCCCAATCCAATTTTGATATTATCTTTAGAAGCTTCAAAGCCTTTTGGCATTTTTTGCTTAAGGCAATCAATGTGCACTTTGAAGTTAAGTTTGCTATCAAGCATGATTCTTAGATATTTTATTTGTTGGACTATAGGAATTATGTGTCCATTCAATTTTAATTCAGGATCAAGGTCATAGGTTAGTTTTATATTTTTTCAGAAATGCATACAGTTTTTGTTTTGGAGAAACAGAATCTGTATTCATTTGTCCATCTTTCTATCATGTTTAAACATGTTTGTAGATATCTTTCAAAGGAAGGCATGTTTAGTGATGAGTATAATAGAAAAATCATCTATCTATAGGCATTTTTTCAATTCCTGGATTAATGGTTTTAATAATACTATCTATTTTTAGAATAAACAGTGTGACTGATAAAATGCTCCCTTGAGGTACTCCTGCCTCCTGTTCATATGTGTCTGATATTGTGTTACCATTTTGTACTCTAAATGTTTGGTTTGACAGGAAATTTTGGATGAATATAGCCATTCTTCCTTTATTGCCATCTGGTTCATGTCTTTTAATATACCATACTTCCATGTGATGTCATAGGCCTTTTCAATATCAAAGAATATTGACACCACATGGTGACCTCAAACCAGGCCATCACAAATAAAAAATTCTAGCCGTACAATTTGATCACTGGTTCCTTGGTTTTTCTGGAATCCACTTTAGTATTGTTTCTCTCCAAGTACCACATCAGTCAGAATTTACCATTCTCTCCATTGTTTTGCAAATACAACTTGTTAGTGTGATGGGTTGGTAATTTGTTGGGTTGGAATGGTCTTTGCCAGGTTTAAGAATTGGAGTGATGATAGATTCAAGCCATATTTCTGGAAATTTGTCTGAACACCATATATCATTGAAGATTTTGAGTAGTATCTTCTGGCAGGTGTTTTAAAAATTTGTAATGGATTTCATCTGGACCAGTTGCAGAGTTTTTACTTTTGCTTATGGAGTCTTTTAGTTCTTGTCATAGTAAAGAAAATATTATATTCTTCTTTATTGTTTGAAGTGAACACAAGTTTTTCTTGTCCCATAATATTTTTGAAATTTGGAAATTTGTTGAGAAATTTCTTTGACATTTTGTTGCTATTAGTTAGTTAGTTCTTTTTTTCCATTTTGTCTTTTTTTTTTTGTATATTTGTTTGTGATGTCTCCATTTGTTTTGATTAAATGGATTGTTGCAGTTTGTGATGTATTTTTTCCATTTTTTCCATTTTCCTTATTATTTTCAATGTTTTATTTATTGGGGTTTTGTTGTTTAATTTGGAGATGTAATTTTTCCAAGTTTCTCTTTTGGATTTTTTTATTATATAGCATGCTTTTGTTCATGTTTGCTTGTAGTTTTGTAAGTTGATTGTGGTTGGGTTGTGTAAGAATATCTTTAGCATTTTTTCCTTGGTTTTTTGCTTCTGCATTCTGCTGTTAACCAGGGTTTTGATTTGGTATGTGGTTTAAAAGGAAGATTTGGGTATTGTCTTGCTATTTGTGTTAGTATGTTTGTAAAGGAGACTATTGGTTCTGGTTCATTGAGAATTTCCATGTTGATTTGGGATGAGCAGAGTTCATTGAATTTAAGAAAGTTAGCTTTGTGTAGTTACCATTTTGGATTCTTTTCTTCTGGCATAGGCTTGCTTATATTTAAGAAAATAGGCGAATGGTCACTACCATATTGATCATCATGAACTTTCCATTGAAAATCTATAAAAATTGATGGGAAGCATATGGTTAGGTTGATGGCTGATGTTGATCCAGTACCTGAGTGTAGGTATGTGTGCATTTGGTTATTAAAGATACATAAATCAGATGATTCTAGTAGAGATTCTATAATTTTATCAGTTTGATTGGGGTTCCTACAGCCCCACATTTTGCTGTGTGCATTAAAATCTCCCATTAGTAGAAATGGGGTGGGAAGTTGGCCAATTAGCCTTTCTATTTCAGTCTTATTCAGTCTGTGTTTTGGAGGAATACAAATTGAACACATAGTTATTGTTTGATGAATTGAAGCTTTTACTGCCATGGTCTGTAGATTTGTGTTTAATTGTAGTTTTTCATGGGGTGTTGATTTTTTAACCAATATAGAAGTACCCTCACTTGGCTTGTTCTCTATTGTTGATACATGAATTTTGGGGTAAGTTTCATATACTATTGGTTTCTTTAAGAAAGGTCTCCTGTAAGCAGACTGTTTGGATTGTAACCAGGTAAGGAGTTGTCCGATTTCCTCAGTTTGGTTTAACACATCTACAGTTCCATTGTATTATGCTTGTATTCTGTTTGCCCATTTGAGTGGCAATTATTTTTGAGAGTGGATCTTAACGATAACTATGTTTTTGGTTGTCAATTTCCATATATTCCATACTTTCTGTACTGTTTGTTTTCCTTGTTTGTAAACTTGTTCTTTGCTGAGTTTTGTATGTTCTTGATCATTTAGGTTCTTTTCATTTTATTTTTTTCTGATTATTTTTATGTGGGTTGTTGTCCCGTTTATTTGTTTTTTTAATTCTATTTCTTCTGTTTTTTTTGTTTTTTTGATTTTGTTTTTTATTGAGGTTTGATTGATTTTTGTTATGTCAGTTTTCTGTTTGTGTAATTTTCCATTTGAAACATTTTGAGTGTTTTGTAGTTGAGAAGTTGTTTTGGATTTACATTTGCTTGTGGTTGGTTTTGGTTCAACTCTAGGGTTTGATGCTGGGTTTTCCTTGGACGTTGTTTTTAGTTTTTTTTCTGGCTTTTTTCCAGTTGACTGAAGTTGCTGTGATTTGTTTTCATTTTGACTATTGAATACTGTTTTGAGACCAATTAAGATATTAGCTCATCTAGTAGTGTCTTCAAGTCATTGATCCAGATTGGTGCTTCAACTAAGGGATTTGGCTTGTTTTCATTGATAGTTTTATTGGCATAAGTATTATTTTTAGTGTAGGTCATCACCTCTTTCCAAGCTTCTGGAAAGGGGATGTT